GTGGACTCCGGGGAGGCGGAGGCGCATGGGCAGGCTGTGGGCAGAGGAGGGAACTGAGGAAGCCCTGAGGCCTGGCGGGGGGAGGGAGGTGGACGGAAGACGGACCTGAGCCCGGACCGGTGAGGCCAGCACAGCCGCCCGCCCGGCTTCCTCGGCTCCGACCGCCGTTCCGGCCCGAGCCCCTCACTGCGCTCGGAGGCGATGTGATAAGCTGACCCACTGCTTTCCGTCCGAGCACCTGGGACCGGGTCCGTCACGATGCAGGCCCCCCTGTCCCGGGTTCCGCACGCCGGGTTCACGCGGAAACGCCGACACCGAGCGTCCGCTCGGTCTTTCATCCGTTCTCCCCGCAGACCGCTCCTCCGTGGCTCTCACCTCCCGCGCTCCTGGGCGGAGGGCAGGGAGGGCCGAGGCTCCGGCCGAGGCTGGTCTTGGAGGCTTCTGAGCTCCGCCTTCTGCATCTGCGCTTCAGCCTCCTGGACGCCGGACGCTCTGTGCCTGGCTGCGGCCCAGTGCTGAGTGCCCGGCCCACGGGCAGCCGTCCGGCGAGGGACCCTCCTTGCAGAGGGGCCTCCCCCCGAGTCCCCGGCCTCCGGCGTGGTGCCCGGCTGGCCTGCAGCTGAGGCCTTTCAGACCTGCAGGCTGAGGCTCCCAGGCTGGCTGAGGCTCCCAGGCTGGCTGAGGCTGGCCAGACTTTCAGTGCGAGCTCTTGTGGGACCTGGACGGGGGCGGGCGGGGGCGGAGGAGGGCCCCACGTGCTGGCCCTCCTGTCGCTGACCACTCTGAGCCGTGAGCCCGGGGGCGGCGCGGTGACAGAGCGGTCTGTCTGGAGGCTGGGCCCTGCGTGGCCGGCTCCCGCAGGGGCGGCGGGAGCCGCGTTTGCCGGCGTGTTCTCTGCGGTCCCGGTCCAGCCGGGCCTCGGAACCCTCTCCCCGCGAAAACCAGGACGCCGAGTGCGGGACACAGCCCGCTGGGGACAGAGGGCCCGCCATGTGGAAATGTCACCGGGAAAATGTCAGCACCCGGAGCCTCACCGCTCCGGCCTCTTCATTCTCGCTGGCCCCCGCCAGCTCCCTGCGCCCTGCTTTCTGGGTGTGTCATGCCCCCCTTGCTGCCCGGTGCCCTGGAGCCAGGCCGCGGTGCCCCCCGATGGCTGTGTCCCCCGCAGTCTGGTCCGGAGCCGGCCGCTTTCCATAGCGTCAGAGGAAGGAGAACAAAGAGCGATCCTAAAAGCGCCCTTTGGAGGGAGCGGGTATAAATACACGAAGGGAAAGCCACAAAGGAAGAGATTAAACACGGCTCAGAGCCGGAGCCTCCCGCCAGGCCCGGTGCCGGGCGGCTCTGCGGGACGCTTTTGGGGGCCAGGTTTCCGGGTTCCTGAGCCTCTTTCTTCCGTTTTATGAGGCTGAATCCCAGCCGGAGGGAGAGGAGCTGTGCCAGCCTGGCCAGGCTGTGGGTGGGGGATGGAGAGAGATCTGGAGACACACAGGTATCCGTCTCCTCCGCAGACGCCGAGGGCCAGCGTGTGCCACCGGCTGCTGCCCGCCAGCCGGTCTCTTTCCGTGGAAACGGAGGCACAGAGCCCCGGGTGCCTGGGCATCACCCCGCCCGCCAGTGGCCGAGCCGCCACCCGAGCCCCGCAGACTGGCTCCGGGTTCTAGCCCTTCGCCCCGCTGCTCCTGCGCGGAGAGACCCACTGTGTGTAGGAACTGTTCGCACGGTGTGGGCAGGGGGTCCGGGAGAGCGATGGTGACAGGGCTGTGTGGCCTCAGCTGGGCAGAAAGGCGTCTGGGGGTGGGGGTGGAGCACCAGGAGGGCTGCCTGGAGGAGGGGGCCAGCGAGCTGAGGCTCGAGGTTGGGTAAGGCTGAACTGGGGATAGTGACATGCAAGATGAGGTAGAGCCAGGTTCAGACGCCGTCCCCTCTCCCAGGTGCCAGCCGCTCCCTCAGAGACTCACCATTTGGGAGAGGCTTTGTGACCCGGCGGAGAGTGTGTGTGAGTGTGTGTGAGTGTGTGTGTGTGTGTGTGTGTGTGCGCGAGCGTGGTTAGGAGTGAGGTGGATGGACAGTAGGGAGGGTGTCTGGCGCGTAGTAGGTGCTCAGGAAATGCTAGCAGGTCCACAGAACTTGAATTATGTGCTCACATTTACCAGTTAGGAGGTTCCACACGAAGCTCCAAACTCCCAGCTTTATTTGAAAACTCCTAAGATCTGGTGACGCGGCCGGCCCCCGGGCCCGCAGGAGGAGTGGCCGTTCCAGGCGGGCACTGGGCCTGTGGAATGCTCTCCCTGGCTCTCTCCTGCCCTGCCCTCCCCTCTGACCCCCGGGCATCCCCAGCCCCGAGCCCACCGTGCGGCCCAGCGGGAGGGGGTTCTGGCAATGCGTGGGCCCCGCTCTCCGCGCGCTGGGCTGGGTACCGGGCCTTCGTGGCAGACCAGGCGCAGACACTGCGATGGCCCCCAGCCCAGCGCAGAGCCGGCCCCGCTGACGCCCACGCCGCTGGGCAGCCCGCAGGCGCCGGCCTCGTCCGTGACTCAGGGCGCTGGGCCTCCGCCTTTGAAGCGCTGCCGTTTGGCGTGTGGACGGGGCCGGTCAGACCCAGGCGTTCCTGGACGCATGGAGAGCCGCCCGGCGGGCAGTGAGGGGCCGCGGGGAGAACCGGGGCTCGGGGGCCCCTCCTTCCGGCTGCTGGCCTGACCTCAGAAGACGGTCATCAGGTTTTGGCGGGAGGCTCCTCCCCGGGGGCTCCCCAGAGAAGCCGGGCTGGCTCCGCATCTGCGCGGCCGGGGAGTCCAGCTCTGACAGGCACCCGAGTGCTGCACAGAGTCCCACGTCCCTTCTCCGGATTCTCGGCATCTTCCAGGCTGCCTCCTCCAGGAAGCCCTCCGTGGTTCTCCCCGGGGTGAGGACCGTCCTCTTCATCCTCATCCCCCGGTTTGCAGCCCCTTCCCAGGCCTGTGTGCCCTCGCCGCCCTCACAGCCGCCCCCGGCCGGGCAGAGTGCTCCCAGGCTCACAGCCCTCGGTGCCCCCGAAGCTGGGCACTGTGCCCTCCCGCGTTACAGACTGGGGCTGGGACTTAGCAGGGGAGCGGCCTTGCTCCCGGCCACTCCCTGGCAGGTGGCAGAGTGAGATTGGGACCCGGGCTCTGACCACAGCCCTGGCGCAGACAGCTGGCTGGCGGCTGGCCCTGGGTCTGCGGGGACGCCTTCTCCTGGCTCGGGTCCCGGTGAACCTCAGGGCTGGATGCGTAACAAGCCGCTTGGCCGTGCCGCTGGCCCGGAGCCTGGGCGGCCCAGAGCATTTCTCCCCGATGAGGCCTGGCCTGCTCAGTGTGACCTCTGATGTTCACGGCTGGCCGGGCAGACTGCTGCTTCCTGTGACCCCTTTCCCCGTCAGAACCGCTCCCTCTCCAGCCGGAAGCACTTTCTCTCCCCCCCCCCCCCTCCCCACGCCTTCCCGCCCCCCTCCTTCCCCCCCCACCCCTTCCCGCCCCCCTCCCTGCCCTCCCCACGCCTTCCCGCCCCCCTCCCTGCCCCCCCCCACCCCTTCCCGCAGGGGAAGACCTTCTGGGGGAGCGATGGGCTCACACTGACGCTCACCTGCACCCACAGCCCCCGGCACCCGGAGCCCCCGCGCCCACAGCCCCCCGCGCCCACAGCCCCCGCGCCCACAGCCCCCCGCGCCCACAGCCCCCCCCGCGCCCACAGCCCCCGCGCCCACAGCCCCCCGCGCCCACAGCCCCCCCCCGCGCCCACAGCCCCCCCCCGCGCCCACAGCCCCCCGCGCCCACAGCCCCCGCGCCCACAGCCCCCCCCGCGCCCACAGCCCCCCGCGCCCACAGCCCCCCGCGCCCGGAGCCCCCCGCGCCCACAGCTCCCCGCCCCCGGAGCCCCCCCCCCCGCCCACAGCCCCCCGCGCCCACAGCCCCCCGCGCCCGGAGCCCCCCGCGCCCGGAGCCCCCCGCGCCCACAGCTCCCCGCGCCCGGAGCCCCCCGCGCCCACAGCCCCCCGCACCCGGAGCCCCCCGCGCCCGGAGCCCCCCGCGCCCACAGCTCCCCGTGCCCGGAGCCCCCCGCGCCCACAGCCCCCCGCGCCCGGAGCCTTGCCGTCTCGGCCCTGAGGCTGTGACCACGCTCGTCCACCAGAGCCGGGCACCACGGAGCCTCCAGGAGCTTCTGTGACTGAGTCAGGGCTTCCTCCGAGCAGGGCCGTGGCGGTGGCTGGGGGGAGCGGGTATTGGGCGGGGGGAGCTGCAGAACATGTTCTCGCTTCAGGTCAGTTTCCCGCAGACTTTGTCTGGGCGACGAGCATGACGAGTGTTTGCTACGGGCCTGGGAGCCGGGCTGTGCTCCCTCTGCCCCTGGCCGGTGCCGAGGCCGCCCTGTCCCCCCAGCACGGGGGCCGCCCTGTCCCCCAGCGCGGGGGCCGCCCTGGCCCCCCAGCCCGGGGGCCGCCCTGTCCCCCCAGCACGGGGGCCGCCCTGTACCCCCAGCGCGGGGGCCGCCCTGTCCCTCCAGCGCGGGGGCCGCCCTGTCCCCCCAGCACGGGGGCCGCCCTGTACCCCCAGCGCGGGGGCCGCCCTGTCCCTCCAGCGCGGGGGCCGCCCTGTCCCCCAGCACGGGGGCCGCCCTGTCCCCTCAGTGCGGGGGCCGCCCTGTCCCCCCAGCGCGGGGGCCGCCCTGTCCTCCCAGCGCGGGGGCCGCCCTGTCCCCCCAGCGCGGGGGCCGCCCTGTCCCCCCAGCGCGGGGGCCGCCCTGTCCTCCCAGCGCGGGGGCCGCCCTGTCCCCCCAGCGCGGGGGCCGCCCTGTCCCCCCAGCGCGGGGGCCGCCCTGTCCCCCCAGCGCGGGGGCCGCCCTGTCCCCCCAGCGCGGGGGCCGCCCTGTCCCCTCAGTGCGGGGGCCGCCCTGTCCCCCCAGCGCGGGGGCCGCCCTGTCCCCGGCCATGCCGAGGCCGCGGTGCCCGTGTCTCCACGCACTAACGGTGTCTCTCTCCCCCGCAGTGAGCGACCTGCAGGAAGAAGGCAAGAATGCCATCAACTCGCCCCTGGCGCCTTCCTTGGCGGACCTGCACCCTGAGGACACCCTGCTAGGTACGGTGGGCTGGCGACCCCTGACCCCTCTGTGCCCCGACCCCTCTGTGCGCCGACCCTGCTGTGCCCCGACCCCGCTGTGCCCCGCCCCCGCTGTGCGCCGACCCCGCTGTGCCCGACCCCGCTGTGCCCCGACCCCGCTGTGCGCCGACCCCGCTGTGCCCCGACCCCGCTGTGCCCCGACCCCGCTGTGCCCCGACCCCGCTGTGCCCCGACCCCGCTGTGCCCCGACCCCGCTGTGCGCCGACCCCGCTGTGCCCCGACCCCGCTGTGCCCCGACCCCGCTGCGCCCTGACCCCGCTGTGCCCCGACCCCGCTGCGCCCTGACCCCGCTGTGCCCCGACCCCGCTGTGCCCCGACCCCGCTGTGCCCCGACCCCGCTGTGCGCCGACCCCGCTGTGCCCCGACCCCGCTGTGCCCCGACCCCGCTGTGCCCCGACCCCGCTGTGCCCCGACCCCGCTGTGCGCCGACCCCGCTGTGCCCCGACCCCGCTGTGCCCCGACCCCGCTGTGCGCCGACCCCGCTGTGCCCCGACCCCGCTGTGCCCCGACCCCGCTGTGCCCCGACCCCGCTGTGCGCCGACCCCGCTGTGCCCCGACCCCGCTGCGCCCCGACCCCGCTGTGCCCCGACCCCGCTGCGCCCTGACCCCGCTGTGCCCCGACCCCGCTGCGCCCCGACCCCGCTGTGCCCCGACCCCGCTGTGCGCCGACCCCGCTGTGCCCCGACCCCGCTGTGCGCCGACCCCGCTGTGCCCCGACCCCGCTGTGCCCCGACCCCGCTGTGCGCCGACCCCGCTGTGCCCCGACCCCGCTGTGCCCCGACCCCGCTGTGCCCCGACCCCGCTGTGCGCCGACCCCGCTGTGCCCCGACCCCGCTGTGCCCTGACCCCGCTGTGCCCCGACCCCGCTGTGCCCTGACCCCGCTGTGCCCCGACCCCCCTGTGCCCTGACCCCGCTGTGCGCTGACCCCGCTGTGCGCCGACCCCGCTGTGCCCTGACCCCACTGAGCGCCGGCCGAGGCCCCGGCCTGGCCCAGGCCTGGGGGCGGGGACGCTGGGTGGCGGCCTCCTGTTCATACGGCACCGGGCGCACATGGGAGGCTGGCTCTGAGTGCGAGGCCTTTGGAGGAAGGTGCCAGAGGGACGGGAGCGGCCCTGGGTGAAGATGCAGAAAGTGGGTGTCGCTGGGCATGTGGGAGCCCGGGATGGGGGTGCTGGCTCCGCCAGGCTGCGTGGGAAAGGCCCTCGCGGGCCGTGGTTGGCGTGGGATGAGCGGACCCTGGGAGGGGCCCTCCCTCAGGTCCTCAGGCCCCAAAGTGCAGCATCAGAACATCAGACACACGAGTACACCCCCCCTCCCACCCCTGAAGGCTGGCTGCCCCGCCCGGGCCTTCGGGTGGGACTCCAGGCGTACTCAGCTCCAGGGCCACCCTGGTCGGCCCTGATGAGGGGGCGGCCTGCACCAACCCCCCTCAGTGGTCGGCAAACTCAGGAGTCCACAGAGCCAACTAGCAACAGCCCAACGATTGGCATTTCTTTAGAGAGCCATGTTTTTTACATCTTCAAAGTAGAGTCCCCCGGGCCGTGTTTTTTTGTGGAAGAGCCACCCTCGAGGGGCCAAAGAGCCGCAGTTTGCCGACCACGGCCTTACAGCGTGCTGTGGGCCCCGCTGGCTCGGAAGGCAGCGGCGGAACATTCCGTCTGTTCCCAAAGCCCTGCTCACGGGGGAGTCCCGGCGGCGGCCGCTGTGGTTCCCGCATCACGGCGGCCAGCGAGGGCTCCGGGCAAGGCCAGCGCGCTGGCGGCCGCCCCGGCCAGGCCTGGCCGGCTCCCTGGGCCCGGGGCCCCGGCTCCTCCCTCCTCCGGCAGAGTGCAGCTCCTGTGGTCCAGCTGCTCAGGGTCCCGGGCCGGCTGGCTGCTACCCTGGCGGGTGCTCCTGGGGGCCCGTCCGAGGGGGTGTCAGGTCAGCCTCTCCGCCCGGCACCACGCTGGCCGGCACTGGCTAAGCCGGCACATGCCAGCCGGCACCGGCTAAGCCCGTGGTGTGGGGTCGTCCTGGGTCAGGCCCCCGGCTTCTGCCCAGCAGATGCCAGCAGCACCCCTCCCCCTCCCGCGGGGACACGGTCCGTCCTGGCTGAGAAGCTGGGACCAGCAGGGGCAGGAAGTGGAGTCGCCTTAGCGTGTGCTGGGCTGTTGTCTGGTCAATGATGCCTCCAGCCTGCCTCTGCCCAGGCCCTGCCCCTGCCCCTGCCCCTGCCCCTGCCCCTGCCCTTGACCCTGCCCCTGCCCTTGACCCTGACCCTGACCCTGACCCTGACCCTGCCCCTGACCCTGCCCCTGCCTCTGCCCCTGCCCCTGACTCTGCCCCTGACCCTGACCCTGACCCTGACCCTGCCACTGCTCCTGCCCCTACCCCTGCCCCTGCCCTTTGTCCCTGCAGAGGAGAATGAGGAGCGCACGATGATCGACCCCACCTCCAAGGATGACCCCAAGTTCAAGGAGCTGGTCAAGGTGAGGAGGGAAAGGAGCCAACCCGGGGGCTGGGGAGGGGCTTGATGCTGCGCTCAGGAGGCTGGGAGGCGAGGAGGCTGAAAGGAGGACGGGGTCAAGGTCACGGTCACAGCGTGGACACCCCCCGGTGCCCCCTTCACTGGTGCCTTTCCTTTAAAAACATTTTTTTGGTTAATTCCGTTGATTCTTAGAGAGAGTGGAGGGAGGGGAGAGACAGAGAGACACATTGATTGGTTGCCTCCCACACCTGCCCCGACTGGGGCTGGGGATGGAGCCTGCAACCGAGGGACGCGCCCTTGACCGGAACGGAACCCACCACCCTTCAGTCCTCAGGCCAATGCTCTAACCACTGAGCAACCATCCGGGGCTCAGGGGGCCTTTGAAACGCTGGCTTACACTCTGCGCCGGGCAGAGGAGCGGCTGGAGGGAGGGCCGCCGCCCGGGCGTGGAGGGGCTCAGAGGCAGCGCCCCCAGCGGGAGTGTGACCCCTGGCTGCTCCCGCTCCCACCCGTCCGATGGACTCCCTGATCTGGGCGGACGGTCAGCTTCACAGCAACTGGAAGTGCTGACCAGAGAGGAGCCTGAGGGCCAGGGAGATGGGGCCTGTGGGCCAGGGAGAGGGGCCTGAGGGCCAGGGAGACGGGCCTGAGGGCCAGGGAGAGTAGCCTGAGGGCCAGGGAGAGGAGCCTGAGGGCCGGGGAGAGGGGCCTGAGGGCCGGGGAAAGGAGCCTGAGGGCCAGGGAGAGGGGCCTGAGGGCCGGGGAGAGGAGCCTGAGGGCCGGGGAGAGGAGCCCGAGGGCCAGGGAGAGGGGCCCGGGGGCCAGGGAGAGGGGCCTGAGGACCAGGGAGAGGAGCCTGAGGGCCGGGGAGAGGAGCCTGAGGGCCGGGGAGAGGGGCCTGAGGGCCGGGGAGAGGGGCCTGAGGGCCGGGGAGAGGGGCCTGAGGGCCAGGGAGACGGGGCCTGAGGGCCAGAGAGACGGGGCCTGAGGGCCGGGGAGAGGGGCCTGAGGGCCGGGGAGAGGAGCCTGAGGGCCAGGGAGACGGGCCTGAGGGCCAGGGAGACGGGCCTGAGGGCCAGGGAGAGGAGCCTGAGGGCCGGGGAGAGGGGCCCGAGGGCCGGGGAGAGGGGCCTGAGGGCCGGGGAGAGGAGCCTGAGGGCCAGGGAGAGGGGCCTGAGGGCCGGGGAGAGGAGCCTGAGGGCCGGGGAGAGGAGCCTGAGGGCCAGGGAGAGGGGCCCGGGGGCCAGGGAGAGGGGCCCGAGGACCAGGGAGAGGAGCCTGAGGGCCGGGGAGAGGGGCCTGAGGGCCGGGGAGAGGAGCCTGAGGGCCGGGGAGACGGGCCTGAGGGCCAGAGAGACGGGGCCTGAGGGCCGGGGAGAGGAGCCTGAGGGCCGGGGAGACGGGCCTGAGGGCCGGGGAGAGGAGCCTGAGGGCCGGGGAGAGGGGCCTGAGGGCCGGGGAGAGGAGCCTGAGGGCCGGGGAGAGGGGCCTGAGGGCCGGGGAGAGGAGCCTGAGGGCCAGGGAGACGGGGCCTGAGGGCCAGAGAGACGGGGCCTGAGGGCCGGGGAGAGGAGCCTGAGGGCCGGGGAGAGGGGCCTGAGGGCCAGGGAGAGGAGCCTGAGGGCCAGGGAGAGGAGCCTGAGGGCCGGGGAGAGGGGCCTGAGGGCCGGGGAGAGGGGCCTGAGGGCCGGGGAGAGGGGCCTGAGGGCCAGGGAGAGGGGCCTGAGGGCCGGGGAGAGGGGCCTGGGGGCCGGGGAGAGGGGCTCTGGAGCCCGCGGCAGCAGTGCCGGCTCCAGAGCCACAGCCGCGGACGGCGCTCTGCTCGGCAGCCGCACCCGCGCCCGCTCCCGGGCTGGGCCCTGGGTCGGCCCGCGTGTCACGGACAGAAAAGTTCCGTTCGAAGTGCTTTCTGTGAGTTTCTCCCCGCCCGCTGCCGGGGCCCGCCTGGCTGTGTCCCAGGGCTGACACGCAGGCCCAGCCTAAGAACAGACGGGAAATGTCAGTGTGAGGACCCGCCCACCGGTGTGGACCCCAGTTTAGTTTTTACGGTTTTCCCCCGAGAACGGGTGATGCTGCTCAGACGGACTGTCCGTGAGGAGAGGGGCCCTTCCAGCCGCCAGGCCGGCAGGGGAGGCGGGCGGTGATGGGGGGGGCGTGTCGGGGATCGCGGAGAGCAGAGCAGGGCGTGGGCTGCTCCGTGGGTGGCTTCCATCTCCTCCCCAGGTCAGCGGACCGCCTCGCCTGGCTGTCCGGCCTCTTCCTCCTCCTCGTCCGCGGGGAGACAGGCCGCTGTGGGGATCGCCCCCCGGGCAGAGGGGGCGCTGTCAGCTGGGGGAGACGCCGGGAGGCGATCTGGCGCCGCCCCGGGCCCGGACCCCGTCTCAGGACTCGGCAGCCACGGGCAGCTTGGCGGAGATTAAAACGTAGCTGTCATCGCTGCGGGGAGACAGGCCCGGCCCCGATCATCGGGGGAACTAAAGGGAAAGTGATTTTTTATTCTGGTTTCAGCGAGCTCGTCACACTCTGTGCCCAGAGCAGGCGCCCAGGGCGTCGGGCGTCGCTAAGATACGGCCTCGCCCCACGCCGGCAGGTCCGTGGCTCGCAATGAGGACGCCCCCGAGGAAAAGGCCAGGGAGCGGGGATGCGGAGGGGTGAGCCGGGAGCACCGGCCACCTGCTCGGGCGGCAGGCACACCGGGCACTGTGCTGGCTCCCGGAGCTGGGTGACCCAGCCCGCGGGCCGAGCTGGTTTTCCTCCTGGTCTGGCTGTGGTTTGTGTTTGGCCTTTGACTGGGTTCGAGATCCAGACGGAATATGGGGCTTTAGCGTCTCCCTGCAGGACTGCGCCCCGGTCTGCAGGCAGCTCTGCAGTTGGTTTTGCCCGCGTTATTTGTGGAGAAGTGCTGTTGGAGCGTCGGCCCCGTGGCAGCGTGGGGGTGGGGTCCCGGCTCCGCAGAGGGCCCGGCAGCCGGAGGTCTCTGCGGGCGACGTGCCGCCGTCCGTCCTCCCGGGAAGCGGACCTGAGCGGAAGGCTGCCCGGGGGAGGCGCGGGCGCACCGCCTTCAGAGCAGCACCAGCCACACGGCCGCCAGGGGACCCCATGGGGGCGCCAGAGGCCTGTGTTCACACCCGGAACGCGACGCACGGGTGTGAACTGACGGGAGGGAGGGGACGGACATCTTAGCCCCCCCTCAGGAGGACGGGGTGCAGAGCCGGCGTGTGGGGATGACAGCGTCAGGCCCGGCCGGCGGGGGTGACGGGGTCAGGCCCGGCCGGCGGGGGTGACGGAGGACAGGCCCGGCCGGCGGGGGTGACAGCGTCAGGCCCGGCCGGCGGGGGTGACGGGGCACAGGCACGGCCGGCGGGGGTGACGGGGGACAGACCCGGCGGGCGGGGGTGACGGGGGACAGGCCCGGCCGGAGGGGGTGACGGGGGACAGGCCCGGCCGGCGGGGGTGACGGGGTCAGGCCCGGCCGGCGGGGGTGACGGGGTCAGGCCCGGCCGGCGGGGGTGACGGGGGACAGGCCCGGCCGGCGGGGGTGACGGGGGACAGGCCCGGCGGGCGGGGGTGACGGGGTCAGGCCCGGCCGGCGGGGGTGACGGGGACAGGCCCGGCCGGCGGGGGTGACGGGGGACAGGCCAGGCCGGCGGGGGGACGGGGGGACAGGCCCGGCCGGCGGGGGTGACGGGGACAGGCCCGGCCGGCGGGGGTGACGGGGGACAGGCCCGGCCGGCGTGGGTGACGGGGGACAGGCCCGGCCGGCGGGGGTGACGGAGTCAGGCCTGGCCGGCGGGGGTGACGGGGGACAGGCCAGGCCGGCGGGGGTGACGGAGTCAGGCCTGGCCGGCGGGGGTGACGGGGTCAGGCCCGGCCGGCGGGGGGTGACGGGGTCAGGCCCGGCCGGCGGGGGGGACGGGGCACAGGCCCGGCCGGCGGGGGTGACGGGGGACAGGCCCGGCCGGCGGGGGTGATGAGGTCAGGCCCGGCCGGCGGGTGCCAGCTGCCCATCGGCCTGTGGGCAGGAAGGCCGCCCGCGGTGCCAGGCAGGGCAGTGCCCGGGTGGCGGGCTCGATCCCCGTGTGGGGCGCAGGAGGCGGCCGCTCAGTGACTCTCCTCATTGACGTTTCTCTCTCCCTCCCTTCCTCTCTCTGAAGTCAATACTAACAACGACACAAAACAAACACGTCACGCTAAGTGAAAGGACATAGAAGGTCACGTGTCACCTGACTCCATTGGATGAAACGTCAGAACAGACAAATCCATGCCCGGGGCAGATGCTCGGTGGTGGGAAGACACGGGGGCGGGGGCGGGGGCGGGGGCGGGGGGTGACTGTGGACAGGTCCGGGTTTCTTTCCGGGGTGACGAGGATGCCCTTCGGGGGGTCATTTGGCATTGGATGGCGGTGTGGGTGCTGGGAACGCTGGCTGGCTCACTGCAGAGCAGCGGGTATGGGGTGTGACTGTGTCTATGAAGCTGCAGAGAGAGCAGGAGCTCAGAGCTTGGGGAGCCTTTGGGGTCCCCTTCTCTCAGCTTTGGGGTCAGGCTCCGGGTGTTCGGGTATGTCCTGGTGCGGATCTGACGGGAGGGAGGGGACGGACATCTTAGCCCCCCGGACTGCCTGGGGCACGCGGGCAGTGCTGCTCACAAAGACTCATCCGACCCCCAGCTGGCGCCATGGTGAGCAGGTGCCATCCCTCCGTTGGCTGAGGGCCCCCTCCCTGAGTCACCGCCCGGACGAGGCCCTGTGCTGAGGCCATCCTGATGGCCAATGTCCAGCAGCTCATGTCTCCTGCGGCAGCCCTGACCGCTGCCCTGGTCCGGGTGCTGCTGAGCTGGCCTCACCCTCCCCTCCCCAGGTTCTCATCGACTGGATCAACGAGGTGCTGGTGGAGGACAGGATCATCGTGAAGCAGCTGGAGGAGGACCTGTTTGACGGGCAGGTGCTGCAGAAGCTGCTGGGTGAGTCCGGAGGGCGGCCCTGGCCCCCCAGCCCCCAGAGGGCCCGGCACAGGGTGGCCCCGGCCCCCCATCCCCCATCTCCCAGAGGGCCCGGCACAGGGCACAGGGCAGCCCCAGCCCCCCATCCCCCATCCCCCAGAGGGCCCGGCACAGGGCGGCCCCGGCCCCCCATCCCCGCTCCCCCCAGAGGGCCGGCACAGGGCAGCCCCGGCCCCCCATCCCCGCTCCCCCCAGAGGGCCGGCACAGAGCGGCCCCGGCCCCCCATCCCCGCTCCCCCCAGAGGGCCGGCACAGAGCGGCCCCGGCCCCCCATCCCCCATCCCCCAGAGGGCCGGCACAGGGCAGCCCCGGCCCCCCATCCCCCATCCCCCAGAGGGCCCGGCACAGGGCAGCCCCGGCCCCCCATCCCCCATCCCCCAGAGGGCCCGGCACAGGGCAGGCCCCGGCCCCCCATCCCCGCTCCCCCCAGAGGGCCGGCACAGGGCAGCCCCGGCCCCCCATCCCCCATCCCCCAGAGGGCCCGACACAGGGCAGCCCCGGCCCCCCATCCCCCAGAGGGCCCGGCACAGGGCAGCCCCGGCCCCGCATCCCCCATCCCCCAGAGGGCCCGGCACAGGGCAGCCCCGGCCCCCCATCCCCCATCCCCAGAGGGCCCGGCACAGGGCAGCCCCGGCCCCCCATCCCCCATCCCCCAGAGGGCCCGGCACAGGGCAGCCCCGGCCCCCCACCCCCATCCCCCAGAGGGCCCGGCACAGGGCACAGGGCAGCCCCAGCCCCCCATCCCCCAGAGGGCCCGGCACAGGGCGGCCCCGGCCCCCCATCCCCCATCCCCCAGAGGGCCCGGCACAGGGCGGCCCCGGCCCCCCATCCCCCCATCCCCCAGAGGGCCCGGCACAGGGCGGCCCAGGCTGGGCCGTGGGGGTCTTTCCATGGTGGCATCGGTCACACGTCCTGGGAGGGGACTTGGGGCTCAGCGCTGAGCCCGCGGCTCCCAGGCGGCGTCCGGGGCGTGGGCTTCAGGTCACGTGTGTGTCCTCCGTGGCCGTCCACCGGAGCTCCCAGCCACGGGCTTCAGGTCACGTGTGTGTCCTCCGTGGCCGTCCACCGGAGCTCCCAGCCACGGCTGGGCAGGCACCGCAGATTCCAGACCGCCGGCAGCTGCTGCGCGCTGGTCCGCAGCCCGGGGACCGGGGAGTGGGGACCCGGGGGGCAGGGGACGGAGGGGGCTCGGAGCACAGGGCCTGGCGCACAGGAGGTGTCAGCCACCGTGAGGGAGTGGACCGAGCCCGTTATGATGGGGGACCTCAGGGACCCCAGCCTGTGTGTCCTCATGGGGGAGGGAGGGAGGGCCCGGGAGAGAACGTGCCTGCCCCGCGCCTCCACCCATGGGTCCGCTTTATGTGCAAAGACCGTGCCCTCGCACCCGGCCCTCTCCGCCCCCAGCAGCGGTCTCAGGAGCGGTTCCCGGCTCACCGGCCCCCAGCCCGGCTGTGGCAGGGGACGGCTCCACCTCGGACCCGGACCCGTAGGCAGGGACCTCCTCAGAGCCGCTGAGCTGAGCAGGCGGCGGCCCTGGGCTCTGCTGACACCCCCTCCGCCGTCCTGCAGAGACGCTGGCGGGCTGCAAGCTGAACGTGGCCGAGGTCACGCAGTCGGAGATCGGGCAGAAGCAGAAGCTGCAGACGGTGCTGGAGGCCGTGCAGGAGCTGCTGCGGCCCACGGCTGGGCGCTGCCCTGGACGGTGGACGGTGAGCGCCGCGGGGGAGGGCGCGTGCGAGGGGGGGGGGAGCGTGTGTGCGGGGGGAGGGGCGTGTGCAGGGGAGGGGCGTGTGCAGGGGGAGGGGCGTGTGCGGGGGAGGGGCGTGTGCAGGGGGGGGGCGTGTGCAGGGGGAGGGGCGTGTGTGCGGGGGAGGGGCGTGTGCGGGGAGGGGCTTGTGCGGGGGAGGGGGAGCGTGTGTGCGGGGGGGAGGGGCGTGGTGCAGGGAGGGCGTGTGCATGGGGAGGGGCGTGTGCGGGGAGGGGCGTGTGCGGGGGAGGGGCGTGTGTGCGGGGGGGGGGAGCGTGTGGTGCGGGGGGAGGGGCGTGTGTGCGGGGGAGGGGCGTGTGTGCGGGGGGAGGGGCTGTGCCGGGGGGGGCGTGTGTGCGCGGGGGAGGGGCGTGGTGCGGGGGGAGGGGTGGAGGGGAGGGGCGTGTGTGCGGGGGAGGGGCGTGTGCGGGGGAGGGCGTGGTGCAGGGGGAGCGCTGTGTGGCGGGGGAGGGGCTTGTGCGGGGAGGGCGCGTGCGAGGGGGGAGCGTGGTGCGGGGGAGGGGCGTGTGCGGGGGAGGGCGTGTGCGAGGGGGGCGGGGAGCGTGTGTGCGGGGGAGGGGCGTTGTGCAGGGGGATGGGTCGTGTGCCGGGGGAGTGCGTTGTGGCAGGGGGGGAGGGGCGTGTGCAGTGAGGGGGCGTGTGCGGGGGAGGGCGAGTGCGAGGGGGGCGGGGAGGTGTGGCGGGGGGCGGTGTGGGGGGAGGGGTGTGCAGGGGAGGGCGCGTGGCGGTGGGATGGCGTTTGTGCAGGGGAGGGGCGTCGTGCGGGGGAGGGAGCCAGTTTGCCGGGGGAGCGTGTTTGCAGGAGGGGGAGGGGCGTGTGCGGGGGTGGGGTGGGGCGTGTGCAGGTCCAGGGGCAGCATGCTCCCCCGCAGACGCCCCTCCCCCTCGGAGCTGCGGCCTCGCTCACCTCTCCCAGCCTCCCCTGATGCACACTGGCTGGTGGACGGATGATACTGTCTGTACTGATAACAGGAACATGCACACTGTCCGGGATGTCATCACACACTGTCCTGCCCCTGCTCAGGCCACTGCGGGGCCTGGGAGTGGATGGGACAGGAAGGGATGAGAAAGGGGAGGGGAGGAGGGCCAGCCTGCATGCAGACAGGCCGGAGGAGAAACAGAAATACAGAAAAAGAACAAGGAAAAGATACAGGAATGGAAAAGGGAAGGAAGCCGGGGCTGCACGAGGAAGGGGGTGGGGACCGGGGGTGGGCTCAGGCCCACAGAGGGGGGGGGGAGGGTGGTGTGGGCTGTTGGGGCGGAGGGTGGACTGTGAGGCCTCCCGGGCAGGAGCGCTGGCAGCGCCCAGGCCACATGGGCCTCGGCCATCCTCCCTGGCGGCGCCCCACGCTGGGGGGGAGGGGAGGCACAGCTTAGCTGGGGGGAGTCGGACACTAAGGAGGGGACTGCCTTCATTCCTGAGGGCTGGACCCCAAAGACACTGGCCAGGGTTAGGCTGGTGGCGTGTTGGCTGTACTTTGTTGACTAGCAGTTGGGGTGTCCAGGACAGGGAATGGGAGGAGGATGGCGGGGAGGCTGGTTGGGGGGGGGCCCTGGGCTGGGGGTTAACACCCCCCAAAACGGAAGCTTTAATATCAAAGTGCGCTCAGTGGGGCTGGCAGCAGGTCCCAGAGAGGAAGGGGGAGGTTTGGAAGAGAAACCAGTGAACATGGCGGGGGTGGGGGGTGGGGGGGTAATAACAGGGAAGGAGGGAGGGAGGCAGGGTCAGGCTCACAAGGGAAAATGGGATGAGGGGAGGATGGGAGGAGTAAGCAGGAGACAGACGGGGAATGAAGGGAAAGCAGGGAGGAGGGAGGGAGGAGAGGGGCTGTGCGAGGTTCAAAAGGGAGGGAGGGAAAGAAAGCAGGGACGGAGAAAAATGCTAAAATGGGGCGAGGCCAGAAAAACAGCTAAATATAAAGAAGAAACAGAATGTGAGGGTGAGGGGAGTGTAAAAGGAGGATTAGTAAGAAAATTAAGTACAGAGGGTGATTTTTTTAAAATGTAGTCGGGGGCCGTCCCCTGAGGCCCCTGGACTGTGAAAAGGCGCATCTTGGCTGAGACCCCGTTGTGCACGGATTTCGTGCACTGGGGCCTCCAGTTGAGACCAAAGAGGCTTCTTTCCAAGTAGTGACCTTGCTGTGCACGTGCGTGCAGTCCCTCGGACACATTCTGATTAAGGTTCCCATGCTCAGAGTGGCCTTGGCCGCCCGGCGTACGCTCAGCAAGGCCTGCACACTCTAAGTAGCCTGGCTGTCCGGTGACTCTGGCATGCTCCCACAGACAGGAG